CCCCCCTCCTCCGGACTTGGCTCACCCCTCTCACCACGCCCATCCTGTCGTCGTTTGCATAAAGTGAGCTATCCGCGCTTTTAATATACGCAAATGAAGTTACGCTCCGGAACTAATCATATTTGCATGCGGAACGGCGATCTCCTTTGAGCTCTTGTCGCACTTATTACTACAGTTTAGTCGACGGAGAACGTTTTACGGCGGAAAGGCCGACCGGCATGATAATGCAGGTCGGATTGGCCATCGGTATTGTTTTGCCGTGCCAACTCCGCCGTAATTGGTCATGCCGCGCTTTCATCCTGCCTGACTGCGCGCCGGTTAATACTACTTACGAGCATCGGGCGCCGAGTACGAAGGAAATTATTACGAACGATGATGTTGTATTAAAAATATTTATTGCATCATACAAATATCCGTAAAATATTAATGGATATCACATTGACACTAGAATTATCAAATTAAATGCTTTTGTTAGATATCTTAGTGTATTTCTGAAGACCTAATGAGTCTTCGTAAAATACGTGAATAAAAGCTTGTATACCTATATTATAAATACTTTCTGTTTCTTTTACTTTAACGTTTCAGTCGTCGGTAGTTCTAGTGTTAGCTCGACATCATTTTTAATTTGAAGCATAGAAAAGGGGATCGGAGATCTCGATGCCCCATCGGAATTATCGACCGTTTGAAACGAAAAGTGAAATATCCTTTCAATTTGTATTCTCAACACGCAGTGCTCGTCTCACACGCTTTCTACGTTATTCTATTTATCTGTTATTTTCTCTGTATCACGTAGCAAACAAACGTTCGCCTCTTCGATTGACAAAGACGGCTCTCCAATTTTCCCGAATTCTCGTCTAAAAAACACGGGGAAGCTCGAAAACGCGTTCGATCTTGAGGCGGAATACGCGCGCGAACAAGTTTCCGCGAACAATTTGTCCCTCGATTCGTCACGTTCGCGCTCTGGCCGATCAAATAATTCAAATTGAAATCCCCGGCGGCCGATCGAAAGATTTTCAATTACGTCAAGGAACAAAGTTTCGTTTTATCGGTGGCCGACGAGCCGCCGCGTCGTCGACGGCACCGATCCCGGGGAAAGGGATTACGCTATTACACATTAATGAAAGCGCGGGCTTTCACGTAAGATACGTACGAATGAAAGATAAACGCCATCCTCCCGAGACACTGTTTGCCGAGCATTGTACGTTACTTGAGAAGTTTCCAGCAACTATGCCGAAACGATATTCTTGCCGGGGCCGGTGCCGGTGCCGCTGCCGCTGCCGCGGAAACTTTCGATGAAACGTGACATTTTGTCGTTTCTCCGCAATCATGCTTAATTAATTATCGATCGGGCTTCGCCCGGTGCCGCCTTCCCCTCCTCCCTCCTCCCCGGCTTGATAATCGTCTTTTCTTTCGTAAATTTCGATCAGCAAACCGGTGTTATTTGATTTGAAAATCGACGTGGGCGTCCTCCGTTTCACAGGAATCATCTAAGGCTAGATTCGTATAATAGCTGCGATCGTTTTATTACTTTTTTATTTGCTTCCGATCGCGAGAGACACGGTATACACATACGTATCCGTAATAGAAAGCTCTTGTTGAACCACTGTGAGGGAAGATTAAAATAAAACGTGTTAACGCGATGTTGGCTCGACGACCAAGATGTAAAACTTGCATCGGAGAAATTACGGAAATGCGAGAAACAAGGGAAGCAAATTTAGAATAAAGTTAATAAAACTTTCGTCTCTATGATGCCAAGAATTATTCAACTCATAACCTAATAACGTTATGATTTTTTAAAAAAAATTAAACATCGGTCATTTTGAATGCTTGTTCTAGCACCGGTCCTTTAGATTGATCTTCTTTTGAAGTTTTCCAAGTTACCTCAGACCAGTCTTGCAACGTTTCACGATTTATACAGGGTGAATAGAAAGAAGGATTCACAATTTCTAGATAGCAGATAGTACTCGCTGAAACATGAAAAAGAAGTTTCAATAAACATAGGTCGAGAAATTAACAGTTTCAAAGTTATGAACTTTATTGATTTTTTTCTTTCGGTTGAAGAAACGAATTTCTTCGCTTCAAGTGCTGTCATACTGTATGTAAGTAGTGGTTTACTTTATAATTTCTTTCTTTTTCTAATTACAGCAAGATTTCTACGTGTTCTCTTTCCATTTCTATGCATTGACACCTTCGTATTGAAGAATTATGTACCTTTTCAAGAATTCCCTGATATATATTCTAATTTTTTTCACCGAAATAAAAAATTGTTTATAACTTTGAAACTATTAATTTTTCGATCTAATGTTTATTAGAACTTTCACGTTTCTACCCTAGAAGTTACGAAACCTTTTTCTTCTATGCACTCTGCATATCTGATACTAAGAATCATCCAAACTGTTATACTTTTCTGAAGAATTAAAAATCAATCAATTTGAATGCTCGTTCTCTCCTAAATTTTCCAACTTCAATCCAACTTTGCTTTCACTGATTTAATACGAAATAAAGCTGAAAGGCGGAATCCATCAGTTGAAGTAGACGCGAAACACGGGAACACGCGCGCGCAGCAAGCTGGTCCGAAATTGAGGTCCACGAAGTAATCGCTCGCGTTAGCCGCGAGATAAACAGCTGTAACGGACGAAATGCTGATTCGATTTGACACACAGGGCTTGAATTTCCTTGAAATTTAGCCAGCGCACGTGAACGCGCCCGGCCGGGTATTATCGTCTGCCGCAACGAACGCTGCATTTCGGTCACGCACGATCGAGTATTATCGTTGTCATTGTTATATCGGCCATTCGTGGGGTAGCGAGCATACGGCTGTAATCGTAGACTGGAGCAGCGCTTACGGAATATTGCCGTCCCGAACACGCTGTGTATCGAGATACACATATCGATAACGGACTACGGATAAGCACGCTTTAAGAGCTTGGCGAGCCGACCGATTCCTCTGACTGCGACAGCGCACGCCACGATTAAAAAAGATGTTTCTTCTTCGCGTTGCGCGGAGCAGCTGCGACGTAGTTATTACAAACTCGAAGATTATCTCGTCGTACGCGGCGAATGATTTATAGTTTTTGTTTATGCTCGCTTATCCGCCGCGCAATCTGTTGTAATTCAGGAGTTAATTACTCGTTAGAACGTCGCGGCGGTAGTGGCAACTCAAGACAAGTCGAGTACCACTGGCTGTACATTTATGAATTTAACACGAGTTAATCTGCCGCTTAACTTTAATCTGCAATTTAATATTTGGACTTATCGTATTATTAAAAAGGACTAGCTTTCCCACTAACTTAGTAACTAGACTAACAATGCGAAAGCGGCAAACTTTTTGTTGATCCTGATTAACATTCAAAACTAACTCACTAACCGACCCTTATTCTTCTCTTCTTTCCAGATTCTCTGTAACTCGCTTCACTAACTCGCCCACTCGTCGTGCCTCACGATCGTTGATCGAGCCGGCCGGCGAAATGACTCGGCGTAACCGGCCGACGTAACCTAGAACGAGAGATATAACCTAGAACGAGCGAACGAGCGAGCGAGCGGTCGTCGCGGTCGTTCGTCGCGCGGTGATCGCTCGTGATCGAACCATGCGAATTCTTGAAAATGCGCAGGACGAGCAGCAACGGTTTGAAGCTCGACCTGACGGAGAACACGCCAGGTAGCTCGTTGTCGAGGCTGCCTAATTTAGTCGAGCATGCGGAGACCTGCCAGGCGTTGTCCACCGGAACAGGCGAGAATTTAAGCAGCAAATTGCCAAACGTGGTCGAAGGCTCGATGGACTATGGTAGCGAGCGTAGATCCTCCCGGTACCTCGAGTACCAAGACTCGAAACCGTATCAGGACGGCCAGTCGACGTCCGGGCTGCCGCCGTACGAGCAGGCCGGCTACCACCACGATCAGTCAGGGGCCAGAGGCTACAGGGGCTACGAGCGGAAGCCGTACGACAGGGAGGATATTGACCGATACGATAACAGAATTTATCCGGAGGATAACTTGAGGTACGATCGCCGGGGGGATCAGAGAACGTATCAGGAGTCGGACTTGGACGCGCCGTACGAGAGGAGCGATGCCCAGAAGCTCAGCAGGACTTACCCGGCGGAACTTCAGGAGGCGGGCAGCAGGCGATACTCGAGAGATTTGACCGATTACGAGTACGCGTCCAGATACGCGGAGGAAACGTTGAAGCTCGAGCCGAAGAAAGATCACCACCACCATCATCATTCGGGCAAGGTGTACGAGCCGACGCCGTCCAAGGGCTACGAGTCCGGGGTGAAGACGCACGATTCCGCGTACGAGTTGTCGTGCGCCGCGCAGCAGGACCTCGCCGGTCGAAAGTACGAGAGCAAATACCACTCTGTCAGCAAGATGTATGGAACGTTGCCGAGGTACGAGACCGGCAAATCGTACGAGCCTAGGTCGTACGACTACGAGGAGCAGGCTTACGAGACCGGCGGCAAGCCATACGACTCCAAGTACGAGCTGACCAGCTCGAAGAGTTACGAGAGGGCCAAGTACGACGGTGGTTCCTCGTCCTCGAGGTATCAGGACAAATCGTACGATCAGACGTTAAAGATCGGCGAGCTGGGCTCTTCTTCCGCCTCCGCCGCCTACGCCCGCAAGACTCAGGATCAGGAGGAGACCAACGCGGAGAAGATGAACGGCTACCGGAAGAACAATTTCGAGGCGTACGGCGTCTACTCCGATCCCGAGGACGATCACGGATTTCTCGCCGAGAAAAAGACGCCGCAGTACCCGTACAAGGGCGTGGTGGTGAACGTTAGCGGGGAGTCGAGTGTCATCGACCAGAAACGAGCCAAGGACGGCAGGCAGACCGAAGTGGTTGGGAATCCTTGGTGCAGGCATATGATACTGTTACTCCTCTTGGTCCTTCTTTTTGTTATCTTCGTGTTCGTCGCTGGGATCCTCCTCTATTTCAACTGTGAGCCATGTTACTTGCTATATATTTCTATTTTCTGTAGTGTTTAATGCACGAGATCGTTTTACGTTCATTCATCGAGACTCATCGAACCTAGTGTGCACAAACTTTCCCACTATTACAAATACTTGACACGTATATTTTTAACCCTTTGCGGTCTTGCGACTCGGTCTTTCAATTTTTTTCGTCAATGCTGTTTTGCTGAGACTAATAGAAATAAGATGAGAGTTGCGCCGTTGTGTATTTCGACTCGGTCATAGTTTTCGAGAGAAGTCGCTTAGTGATTTCAAACCGTCTTGCCACACGGATAGAATTCCCAATGCAGTAGGTCTTATTTTTTTCATAAAAATTCAAAATTCAATTTAAAAATGACTGATTTACTAATTGGACCATCACTGGACGAGGAAGACAACGTACAGTTGTAGCTAGCAACTGATAATTAATTTGAAAACGATTATATGGCTGATATTAAACGCGAATAATTTCAGAGAAATTAAATTAAGAAATTAAATTAAGTAATTCTGTTATTTAATATTATTATCTACTAATAAGTATGTCGTCTTGTTCGTAAGCCTACAAGCTTTGTTTCGCAAACCAACCAATACCAAACGAATCATTGGCGAAATTAGCACGGACCGGTTGATACGAAATTGTCAATGTAATGCTGAAGAATGCGGAGGGGCTAAAGTAACTAAAGGAGATTCTCGTCCAGATTCTCTTCGCCGTGATGTTTACTGAAATCGTTTTCTTTGTGCCCGTACATCCGTCTCAGGACCAATGAGAGCCATTTAAAGTTACCCGTGGAAAACAGATGCCGGGTAGTTAACGGAGGAGCTTCGTTAAAGAGGGATACGAAATTAGCCAAGTTCTCTCGGCAATGGTTACACAAAGACTGCTTCCCGTTGTTGGAACACGTGCTAATAATAGGTCCGCTCTTCGATAGTGGTGTCGTCTTTTTCCCTCTGTTTCTTCTCGGTTATTTCGCTTTTTCTGTTTCGCATCCAACCGATTCCAAAGGACCATTTAGTTAATGAGCATCCGATACCAATTATTTACGGCGATCCATGTGACCGCCATGGTAATGGGCCTCGTGTCGATGACCATGACGACGACGACGACGACGACGACGGCGACGGCGACGGCGACGTAGGCGACACGTGCTGACGATACGTTAAGCCGGGAACAGTCGGTGTCTCCCAGCCAGTTTTATATATCGAATTTGACATGCCCGGCACGTACGAACTTGCCACTAGCGAAACTGTTCGGTCGGAATTACAATGTGAACGGTAAATGGAAGAAGAGGGTTTAAAGAATAGAGGTGGACAAGAGTGATGTACACCTTGGGAATCCATTTTGTTGCACGGCGAATGCTCGGACGCGCGATACACGGGAAACCACCGAGCGAAATGTATTAAAGTTTCCTTTGGATGCGCGCGCGCGGATGTCGCGGAGTTCGAAACGCGACTTTTCAACACTTTGTCAGATTATTTGGAAAATTTTGCTGTTTAGTCATCGGTTGTATGGTTACGCTTTGAGTTGCTACTTATAATCTGGTATGTACAGGATGGAAAGGAAAATTTGTCCGTTGCTATCATAGATGAATTCTACACCTTCGAAACAAATTTTAATTCTTCAAACAAAAATCTAACCTTGAATTTTTAAGAGAGATACGATTACACCTGTAGCTCGGGGTTTTTTCCCCGAATTACGATAGATTAAGAAAGACTTGTTGTTACAATAATTTCTTATCGTATAAATATTCCACTGTCGCGCAGAAAAAATAGAAAAAGTAGGAAAGTATTTTTAATATGCTTCAACGGTTAAGAGATATAATTGATCTTTTCTTTCTTTCTAGGAAAAGCTCGCTCTAAGTGTTTAAAATTTCATGATTGCGTGTTGAGTTTATAACAATCTACCGAATGGTAGAGATTATGTTTCAATGATAGATTAAAATTAAATCACACGGAAAAGATAATTTATCATTCTGAAGCAGGCGCGAGTCGTTTCAGAAGACATTGAAAATTATTTGATCCTAAGAACCATATATATATATACTCACACGTAGGCAGCGTGTAAAACGGGGAGAGGAATCAGAAGCTAGGAAAGTCATTAGACATCTTGCCTCGCTCGGTTTATGAGATAGCAACACGCTAAAGGGCCGCCATCGCGTTGTTGCGTTCTAGGGGAATATAAACTGAATCGTTTCGAGGCAACCAGTTTACCGAGCTCGAGTGACGTTTGTCCCATCTATGTTTTGATCCCGAATTCAATTACGGTTTAAAAGCGCGCGCGTAGTACGACTACTACTAACAATTGTATAATTTAATATCGTTCAATTAGTGAAATCAATAATTAATAACCTCCTTGGTTAACTCGTGAAAATAACTGGGAAACGTATAGCTGTACGGGAATGGCGATTATCAATTATCTAAATTATATTTTCGTTCATTGAATTAATAAACAAGTGGCATGGAGAGTACACGGAGAATAATTCGACAGCAGATTAAAATTTAAGGGGTGCAAATAATTCTTTGATTTCATACAACATACGCATTGTCTACGCACAACGTGTAAATATTTTAAATTAGTTATATTTTTTTGCAAAGTACACTTTATGAATTCTATCGGATTGGATATCGCAGAACGCTCTAATGAGCAAATTTATTGGAAATTCAAGTACCAGAGGATTTATTGAGCTACACGGTTGATATTTCGACACGTTGTCGACTATTAAATCATTCGCGTCAAGATATGAAAATTATTTACGATGTACAACTGAGTTAAAAATTCTATTTGCCAAAAAGGAAACGACACGGAAGATCAATGGGTTTAATCATCCAGGGATAATGACAATTTCGGTAAAAATCTGAAGATACCTGCTCACCTGCCCACCCCGTTTTAAATAAATCAGTCACGTCCGCGTTCCGTTTCCAACGAATATTTACAGAACGATTATCATCCGCGACGTATCGTCATTTGTTGCACCCAGTTTTTCCTGCACTTTATTATTCCATCTCGCTGCGCGCGTTATTCATTAAAATCTCGTCTCCGATATTTTCCCGACGCTACCGGTTCAATTTGGCAAACGTCGATCGCGAACAAAGAAAGCGAGACGGCGACTAAATGAAATGTTGGAAAATGAAAAGGAAACTGGAGAGAGAGAGAGAGAAAGAGAGTTTTCACAC